CCTCAGGCAATGTATCACTGGAAAATCTTGTTGTCTGGCTAGTATTAAAAATTATATCAATAAACATTTTCTCCAGTCCTGTCTGACTATTGTATGCTGATCTCAGAGTTCTGCCTTTAAGGCACATAAGAAAGGTTTGAACTTATACCCTCCAGCATTACTTGAATCTTCTACTACTTGAATCATTGACCTGGTCTGGTCTTGTAGCTTAAAAAGAATCAAACGTTGCATAAGCAGGAACAATTACAGGAGATCTTTGACCAATGCCAAGTTGATTTTAGTAGAGATGGTCAAAAGTATGTAATAAATATGGTTTGTATACCACACAGAGATGTAAAAATAAAGGAGCTGGCCCACATGCAAAGAATTCTGCCTTTGTTTTATTTGTGATTGGGGTTTTGGTTGTGTCTAATGGTTCAGCATTTACCTGTTGGACCAGTCTTCCTCAGGTAAATGAATCAGCAATAAAAGGAAGAAGGTGTTTTGAAGATGTCAAAAAAGCTCCAATTTACCAAAAGTAAGCACTTAGTTATTGACATTACAACATTTAAAAATTCATTTCACTTGGAGTAGATTTCCCACTGGAGGCCTTCAAAAGCATCTAACATTTCTCCTACATCTAGGAAGAGAATTTATTTCTTTATTTATTATTAAAAATATATTTATTTATCTTTTTATTTCTTTATTTGTATATAGAGAGTTACTGGGGGAATCACTAGGCATGCAGGATGAAGATACAAGTGCTGGAGCTATATAAATAGGTCTCCATGCACTATCCTTCCTTTGGGAAAGCAGAATTAGGGAAAGGTTTTTAAGAGGAAACAAAAACAGCAAGCTAGCACCATTGCAGAACAAAATAATTTTCCATTATTCTATTTCTAAGCTTTCTTGTCACTAGAAATATTAGTAGGAAAGCAAAAAACTGAAGGTGAAAAAAATATCTTTCCAATGTTAAAGACTAAAATTGAAATCCTTAATAAAGATTTTACATCTTCTTATTTACACATTCTTTATCTGAGGGCTTGCAAAAGCTCTCATTTCTTCTCTCATCTCCATGTAAGAAACAAAGCACCCTAAATTTTTCCTAATAGTTTCCCAAAGTTTTTTGTTAATGTTTGTGTGGTTTTTGTGTTAATGTTATAGTACAAAAAAGAAAGACAACTATTTTGTCAGGCTAGTGTACATCAGCAAAGGAAGAGCTGACAAAAAACCACTGAGCCTTGAGGCAGTTTCTGTAGTGGAAAATAAATGCTTGGCATGAACAAAACTATAGAGATGTAATGCCAAAAATGAAGTAACTCCTCTCTTTAAAGCCCTGGAGAGTCATTGGAAAGCTTCCCCAAATTTCAGATTACCCTGTAATTTAATTTATTTTTCACTGATTCTGTGGCGGGTAAATCACTGAACTGCCATTGAGGAAATGGAGTTGGTTTCCTGCTCCTGACACAGATTATCTGCAAGACCCTGGATCAGTCACAGCACAGTAACCAAGAGCAGCACTGCCAAGAAGGGCTTGAGTCTGCTGGTGAATGAGAGGCTGGACATGAGCTGGCAATGTGTTCTCACAGTCCAGAAAGCCAACTCTGGCTGCATCAAAGGCAGGCTATCACAACCTGTACAAATCAAAAGCTTTAAGTTCCAAATTCTCAACATATTTTTATTCCAGATTGCTGCATTTCAAAAACAAAGTTAACCAATGCCTGGTTACTAAGAGGGAGCTCAGACCAACTTTTGCTGTAGTTAGGTAGAGAATTTTACAAAACCAGCCAGTCACCAGCACATTTTTTATATTCACAAGGTGAAGTATGGAATGGCTAACTTAAAATACTGTTAGTTTAATATCATCCAGTGTGGTATAGGTTAAATATAGATAAAACATGATAAATACTTATAAAAGGCAGGATGTACAGAGCAATCCCTTAAAATGGAAGCCAGCTCCCATCAGTTTGTGCCATATTGTTGACTAGCTTGTTTATTTTTTTTTTCTGTAGGTTACCTCTGGGCAGGAGCATGTGGGGTAGGGCTGACCCTATGTAGGGCTAACCCAAATTCTCAGCCACTGAGAAACCACCTCAGAGTGTGTCCTCAGCAAAGACTGTGGATACCATATTGTTCCCTATATGCACAAAAGGAACTAACCCACTCCTGTACCAGCTTCCTTCATGCCTTCATCCCTTGCCTCAAGGCAAGGGCCTTGGCCTCACTTTGGTGAACTGAGTTTGGAGAATAGCCCCAACATGGTTTTTAATTAGCACTCTCTTTTAGAAAGCAAAATCACAAAATGGCAACTTCTGAAATCTGAAGAGAAGCGAAGTAGTGGGCCTTTGGGTAGCAGAGAGAAACTCATCTATCTTCAAGCCTTTTTTGGTTTGAGAAGCTGTGCTGCAAAGAGAGAGTTCCCAAAGCACCCAGACCTTGGACTCTGAGAGCACCATGCACCATGTCTCCCTTTAGAAATGGAGGAAGGAGTGGCTGGAGAATAAAAAACCAGCAACTCCAGCTTACATGCCTGGGAAAGCTCTAAAAAAAAAATACATTTCAGGGGTAGTAAGCATTTCTCAAGTGTAAATTGTTTCAAAATTATCTACTTTGCTTTTCTGGAAGAGCAAAGGACCTACTAAGTAGGCAATTTTGCAAGTAACTGGGTATTTTTTGTTAAATAGAGTATCTGCACTCACTTCCTATATTTTTTTTTTTTAATTAAAGGTTAGGACACACGACTTGACTCCAAACACCCTGCCATCACATTCCTCTCCAGATGGGGTAAACAGGAAATCTTGCATAATTCTCCATGTTCCTTATACCAGTTTGGCATTGACATGGTGCCAAAGGGCATTTAGCACCTTTGCTCTTAAGAACCCCCAGCAGTTTAATTACTGTTGGAATTATGACTTAGGAAGAAAAACAACAGCCTATTTGTTGAGCAAACATGACAATAAGCTGAATGTTTTATTTCTCAATCAAGTTGTCTCTGTGCAGCTCCATGGGCTCACCTCCCTTCCAGGGCAAAAGGTAGGAGTGATAGGTCAAGCCCCTTCATCTTGTTATACAAATTATCTGATCCAGTAGCATAGGAGCAAAGTGCTTGCTAATGATGTAAAGTAACTATCTACAGCAAGTGTCCGAAAAACACCTAAAATGGGTTTTAGAGTAGACTTCAGGTAACTGCATTGAAATAATGCACTTTGGAAAATCCTGTTTGTGGCCAAGTATATTCAATAGTACTTAGGGAATAAAGCTCCCTTCCTAGTCCTCTGGATCTCAGATTTCTTTCTGGACTGTGGCCCAGTTCAGCTGAGGGGTCAAATATACCACCTAACCTTCTCCTGTCACCTTTGAAATGGGCAGAACATTTTCCTAGGACATGTGGCTTGACCTACCCCATGACTGATCAGATCTCAGCACTAGATCTCTTTCTTTTCAGCAGGCCAGAAGGCTACCACATAAGAGAGTTGGGCAATATGGGTATTTTTAAAGGGAAAAATCAACCCAGTTTGGTTCTTTCAAAACTGTTGTGAGGGACCCCGGCTAGGAGAGGGGTGCTGGGTTTAGAGAAAACAGCTAATTTTAGAGGCAACCTGCATACAGCCCCATGGAAACTGTGTTTAATATTTCTGCATGGCTAACCACAGTTCCCCTGCTCCTCCATGCATGGGTTATAGGGGGAGATTATCCTCATGAGGCACAGAGAACTTTCTTCCTACTCATACATAGTGTCTGAGGGCTTTGAATAGCAGGGGTGAAAAGGTCAAATACCTCAGAGGAAGACACTGAAACATCTGGTCTGGTAAATGATGCCTATTATTGCCTTCTATGCAACATTACAAAGTGTCAGCATTAAAGATCTGAAAATGTATTATGTGCTGTGTCTCTTTCCAGGCAGCAAAAAGACAGCAAACTCAATGCAAAGGCTAGGTTTCGCTGTGTATCTACAGGTCTCGAGTATTCTGAAATCCTGAAAGGATCACAGTGCTTCAGTGAGTCCAGGGTAGAGCTGGGTCGTTATTTAAACAGCCTCTAAAAATACACCTTGATGTTGTACTTTCTGTAGGAGAAAGGAGGGGAGGATCTAAAGGGAAAAAGGGGGGAAATACTTGAAATGGGAGTGGTTGAGCACCAGAAGAAAGGGGAACAAGACAGTGAGGCTGTGGGTACATTAAGGCTGTAAAGCAAAGGGAAGTTCTTTTGTGTGTGTGTGTGTGAGTGTGTGTGTGTGTGTGTGTGTAAATATCACCCCTGAAAGGACAACTCCACCAAGCATCCCTGTTTGGTATTCCAGGCTGTCCTGGTGGCTCACAGCCTGTGTGTGCACTGACTGTGTGTGGTCAGTCAGTGCTTTCAAGGTAACATCTTGAATGCAGAGAAAAAACATCTGTAAGCATTTCTTTAAATGTAGTTGCATAGTTTATTTTCAGCAGCCTAAGTGGTGTCCTAAAGACAGGACAGCCTGAAAAAGGCTAATGAGGATGTAAAAATGGAATCTGGATACTACAAATAGGTCTGATCATTAAAAAAAAAAAAACAAAAAAAAACAAAAAACAACAAAACCAAACACCAAAAACAACCTCAGAGGAATCCTGCAGCAGAGGAACAGTCCAGTTCAAGACACCACTCTTTAAAATGTTTATTAAAATCTGCCATATCATTGCTGGTGCATCACTGTAACATGAGGAGTCAGATTCTGCTTTGGGATCTGCACAGACTTGAAAATCCAGAGCTGGTCATCAGAAAGTTCAGCAAAACTACGCTTGAGCATTTAAAGGTTTATGGAAAGTCACAAAAGCTATCAAGGTGTAACACAGATTAACTTTACCTCTCTAACCTATTGCATCAAGCCACAGGCCCACAGAGGAAGAAATATCTTCAACTCCAAACAAGCACACTCACAAATGTGGGCTTAGAAATCTTCACACAAATAAATTCTGTAGTTCATTTGACTTCTTCCAGTCAGATTTACTACAAGATGGAAGCATTTCTTCTTTGCTCTTTAGTGTCAAGGTTCAAGCAGCATAGAAATTCTGTGGGATCCCTTTCACACCCAGGCCTGTTATCTGTTTTAAAAAAGTAAAAATTAAAAGATAAAAGAAAGGAAACAGATAAATCTCCAAGTGCGTATAATGAAAGCATTCAAACATTGCTGAACAAATATCATAACAACAGACTACTACGTGAGGGTCCCCTGCTTCAAGAGAAACCCAAAAGGAGTCATTACTTGGAGTTCTTCCAAACTCTTTAAGATCACTAAGATTATCAAGCACTACTCAATAATTTTGCTATTTTAAATGTTATCTGTGGCTCTTGCATGTAGTCCTCATCTTCAAAACAATTCATAGTAATTTTTAACATGCTTTGCCCATGCAAGACAAATGTGAGTTTGGAAAACACCAATTCCCTTGTGGAACTGGAGAACTCGAGAACAAAACCAGAAAAGACACTTATTTAATCCTTCTGTGGGCTTCTAAAATGTGCTGCTTGAATATACCAGTTCTCAGCCATGAGATCTCTGCTCTAAGCACTGCTTTCAACAGGAGTGTCCCAGATCCCAGAATAGATCTGCATCCCTACTGTAACATGTCTTCATCCTGTGGCCAAACTGATAAAAGAGCTTGGTCTGGGTTGATGGCAATTGCTGAGTAAGAACTACATTTTATTCTCCTGATGTGCTTTTTGCTAATGGAGTGAAAAAATGAAGAGAGAAACAAGTTTCAGATTCAAGAGCCCGAGACAAAAATGTTTTTTAAAAAGTAGCAATCCTTTTTAACAGACAAAAAAAATCCTAAAAGTTTTTGGATTGAGATGCAAAATTTTGCCCTGGTAAATTTAAACATTTAATTTTTAAAGGAGAAATATGTTCTGTAAGCATTTAGATTTCCTGGCACAATTAAAACTAAGTAAGAGAATGAAATTTGTAGAAGTGATTAAAGTATAGGAAGAGATAAAAGCAATTCCTTGCAGTGTATTACAGAACACGTTATCCATATGGCAGATCCATACCCACTCACAGCCTTCAGATCCTGACCAGCCAACTTTGGCCAACCCAGCCATCAACATTATAACTTGTAATTTCTCCAAGTCTTCCTTCCAAGTGCATGAGCAGCTCTGCAAAAGCAGCTGGGCCTGGCTGGGGGACAAGCAATGCACCTGGAGCAGCTCATGAGGTGAGTGGGATGAGCAAAGGGGGCCGGGGCCAGAACATGAGGCTTGGCAGATCTGATGTACACAAAGAAATAAAATCTGCTCACCTTGAAAATCTCTCCTGCATGAGGTTCCTTGGCTAAGGTGGCCTCGTCCAGTCCATCGTATGCAGAAGTCACATACATTTCTGAGTAGTCTTTTCCACCAAAGCAGCAAGAGGTGATCCTTGGAGTAGGAAGCCTCACAGTTTGGATTCTTTTGCCTGGGAAAAATGTGCAATTGTTTTCTAATATTCATTTTTTAGGAAGCATGTAATTATGAATGTACTGTCAGTACACATGGCACAGATGTGACATTTACTCAGAAGACACCTCACCTTCAGACAGAGACCACATCCTAAAGGACAGTTTGTGGGGAAATCAAATTATTCCATCTGCCTCATTTCTAACTATTTTTCAGGCTCTCCCCCACATCTGCAAGGCTCCATTTACTTTTCTCAAAACAAAGCAGTACTGTGTGTGAGGTCAGGAAGGGCAGGGACACCTGGCTTTGGATGGATGTTGTTCCTTAAAGCATTTTCCAGTTAAACTTTTCAACACTGAGAAATTTTGTATGCAGTATTTTGTGGGGTTTTTTTTTGTTTTTTGTTTTTTTTTTTTTTTGACAGTGATAATATTAAGAAGAGTGCACAGTTCATCAGCAAACCATGGGAGCAGGAGTATCTGACACTGAAGGCAGCACAGGGAGCTGCATTCTTTACATGATCAGAGCCTGAGTCAGTGATGTTCTTGGCAATCCACAAGGCAGAAATGGGCAATATTTTTCACCTTATCTCCCCTTCAAACCATTCCTCCTGCTGCCATTCCCCTCACATTTATATGCACAAACTGGTGGAGGCCTTACCTGTCTCTGGGTCGATGCGAATGACTCTGCCGCCATCAATACAGGCCACCCAGAGCTTCCCTTCTACATCTATGCACATCCCGTCAGGCATTTGCTCCTCCTTTTCCAGATGGTACAAAAGCTTGGGGCAGGCTGCAGGAAGAGTTACAAAGCTGATGTTATGTGGGCTGCTACCCATTCTGTATCAGATCCCTGTCTAACCCCTTCCATGCTGTTGCAAACAGCTACGTTCATTTTCTGTGAGAAAGGCATGACGTACATCACACCCGCGTTCTGCAGATGTGTTAAAAGCCTAATTCAGCCTGGCAGAAACAAGTCCCCAGCACAGTCATTTCAGTCTGGCATTGTACCAAATTAGTGTTCCTGTTATTTTACCAAGAGAAGAGAACAAAATGCCCCCATTTCTCTTGTTAACCCACCTGTTGCCTGCCACAACACAACTGCTGCAAGTGCAATAACTTTTCCTGGATTTTATTGGTCATGGCAGCCTGGATATGTCACATAAATAATTACCTGGGTTTAAACATTGGTGATAAGCAATCTCTCTTAGCTAAAGATCAAAAACTTTACTTTTTAATGTCCAACCAAGCAACCAGTTTTGATTAAACCTGGATACCAACTCATGGTCAGGGATGCAGTGCAGATATGTTGGTGAGCACTCAGGTCCATGGAGCAGGGCCCATGGGTCAGGGATCACCTGCTCTGACCCACCCAGCACCTTCTGGTCATTATGCTACCCAAGAATAGACAGCTGTGAACATAAAGCCAAGACTACGAATCTCAATCATGTTGCTTTTTTATATTTGCAGGGGGAAATGTTGCATTATATCCTCTTTTGAAATCTTATATCCTAAAATCTGTAGAAAAAGATATTCTCAACAAAATGAAATCTGAGTGAATGCAATTACTTTGTGTGATTTTCATCTGTGATTACCCAAAGTCTTCACTCTTTAAAGTACAAAGGCAGTTCAGCCATTTAAATTCCTGTGGAGTATATCAGGCTGATACAGCATGAAAATATTTCAAAGAGTCTTGAAATTAGGTTAGATTCATTTTGCTTACACTTAAATTTACTTCCTTGCAGATGCAATAAAAAATGTTTATCCATAAAATGAATTTAAGTTAAATTTGAAAACATCTTAATTTCAGAAATTTTGTTGGGAAAACTCTGTCACAATGACAGCTTAATCCTCTGAATACCTTACTGTAAAATACATACATGCACGTTCTCCACTTGTATTTATGGAGCTAGTACAATCAAAGGAATTCCAGTAGATGGCACTCAAGAATAAATACCATCCTAAAAGCTGTTTCTCATTCTGCAGTGTAAATGGCTTCTTCCCTGCAACTCCTTGAACAGGAGCCATCTCTCCAGATGAAAGAACGCTGAAAGACTGTCAAAAGTTTGTTCACCAAATACACCTTGTGAGTAACCAAATTTGAGGAACACCAAATGTTCCAGCCAGCTAACAAGCTGTAACCAGCAGATATGAGATCTGTCAAATAAATCCCTGGATCTCACAGGCTCGGGTCTTGCTGCAGACAGAGCAGTGGCACTACTTATCAGCAAATTTAAAAGCACGTGTACCAATCTTTCCAGTGTGCACATCATAGCTGAAGGCATGGACAGCGTATGACAGGCTGTCAATGTGGAAGAAGGTCCTGTGGTCCAGGGACCAATCCAGACCATTGGAGATGTCCAACTGGTCTAGCTGTTTTATTACTGAATGGTCAGGGAAGAGGGTGTAGAGAGCTCCTTGCCGCCTCGCTCGGACCCCTGGTGCTGTCTCTTCAGCCATCGTACCTGAAATGGAAGTGGGAGCACTGGTTAGAAAGTAGAAGCTTGCTCCTCGTGTTTGATCAAAAACCTTCTCTAATGTTACCAAGAGGTCCTAGGGAGAACCACAGGATTGTGATTTTTTTTTTCCTTTTCTTCCTAAAAAGAAAATATTTTTAGGAAGAAATTCTTTGCTGTGAGGGTGGTGAGGCACTGGTTGCAAAGAGAAGTTGTGGATGCCCCATGCTTGGAAGTGTTCAAGGCTAGGCTGGATGGAGCTTTGAGTGATCTGGTCTCCCTGCCCACAGCAGAGAAGTTGGAACTAGATGGTCTTAAGGGTCCCTTCCAACCCAAACCATTCTATGATTCTACAATTCTGCAATCCTTTAGTGAAAGGGACTAATAGGTCCTGTCAGATTGATGAGAAAGAGCAAAAGGAGCAGATCAGGGGCAGCTGCCTCCCACAGAGCAGATCCTGGCTGTTTCTGCATTGCCATGAGGTTTAAGTCAAAGACATCAAAGACCCAAAGGGCCACCAGGACACGCCAGGGGGTGGAGTTTTTGCTCACAGCAAAAGTCAAGATGCAGGCAGGCATCAATCATATGCTGTTTCTGTTGTTGCTCTTTGTAGGCTACTTTCATAATTTAAATGGGCTGTGACCATTAAAATACAGGTGCACACCATGTGCCTGAGAGCATTGTTCAAACAGTTCTTGAACTCTGTCGGGCTTCGTGCCATGACTGCTTCCCTGGGGAGCTTGTTCCAGTGCCTGACCACCCTGTGGGTGAAGACCTTTTACACAACCTAAACTTCCTTCTTGCCTTCAGGAGGCTGAGGATCTCCCCCCACATCCTTGTTTTTCACAGGCTAACCAAGAGAGGCTGCACATAATGGGTGCAAACTGCAGCTCATGTTCTGCTCTAGAATGTGCATCCTTCTCTACATCTCTAGAAAAAATTCCCCCTCCATGAGCCCTTCACTGGCTTTTCCATGAAGGCAGTTGTTTGAAAAACACCATCCACCAAGTATGAGAACCTTCCTGTCAGATGGCCTTGCCAACAGCATCTGTCCTTATCTAGGTCAGAAGATGTAGAGTCCCCTGTCCTCCTCCACTGGGCAGTAACCAAGCAGAGCATTTACAAGACAGGGAATAAATAAAAATGCCTTATATAAAATACACTACAATTAGTTTCCCTTTGGTCCAGGGGAAATTTCTGCCAGGAACTTACCAGCAAAAAACCTCCCCTTTGGATCCACTTTCCCATCATTGAACCTGTTGTTGGGTTTATCCTGCTCGAGCTCAAGGATGGTGGTGAGTGCCTGGGTGTCCCAGTCCAGGAAGGCAAACCTGGTCCCCAGGGCGATGACATAGCCCCCACACTGCCGTAGAGCCACCGAGCCGACACGGGCATCTGTGGGTGAGAGAGAGCAGAAGATGGAGGGTAGCTCTGAGGCCATCACTCAGCCCTCACCGAGGGCATCTCGGCTTTACTGGGACATCCCTGGCCAAGAAAGGCTGAGCTGATGCTAAGGTCTTTCTGCCCTGGTATTGTTAGCACATCTCACTGGCTCTATGTTCCATGGATTTTTCCACCTTCCAGGATGGCATAGCCATTAGGACTGTACCTTTTCCTCTGCAGGTCCCAAATGAAACATGCATTCCCATTTAGGCTTATCAGGGGCAACATGTGCACTCTGCTCGGCTGGCCTAGGCCACACTGTGCTCAGCAACACATTGTGGGAAGACAGGGAGTGTGGTCCCATGGAAAGTAAGACAGACCACCGACCTGCAGGACCCCTAGAAGGAGGAGTGGACGGGACAGACAGATGTCAGGATGAAGCAGTGAGTACGGACTCTTACCCACAGACACGCTCTGCACCTCATTGGTGACTGGGCTCCAGCGGCAAACTTTCTGTGAGTTGATGTCTACGTAGACAAGTGCATTCTCCCTTTCTTCCCAGACTGGGCACTCTCCCATCCGGTTCTTCTCCTTCACAACAGACTCAATTTTGATGGAGGAAGACATGGTCTGAGGGGAAGTTAATAATGGATGTAATTAAAAGCTCTCATGTGAATTTTTTCATCCCTACAATATTGAAAAGCAGAGATTGTAAATAGCAAAGCACTCCAAATCCCACATGACAAAGTAATTTAGGAGGTTCTTATGACATTTCCATAGCCTCATGGCTGGAACTGAGCTTGAGGTGCCAAAGCTTCTCCTTACCAAAATTTCCTAAACCACAGCTGCTGATGAGGCACCTGTCTCCAGGCACAGGAGTGCTGGGGCTATAGCCCTAAGCTGGAACCAAGCTGCTGTCTGGGGATCCATGATCCTAAGGGTCCCCCTGACCACAGGGAGGGATCAGAAGGCAGCAGCACCAATGAGTGGTGGATCAATATTTTTGTGGAAAATCAAGGCTCTGCCCTATTAACACAAGTGAATTGATTTCCTCCACAGGAAGACATTTACACACCCACAGCACCGACTCCACTTCGCCACAGAGGCCACTGCACAACAAATGCCTGTTCCCACACCAAGTAAGTGAGAATATGCAAATACTGAGGAAGGCTCCTGCCTTTGAAATTCTACTGCTTTGTTTTCCCTCTAAGATTTCCCCTTCATCATCCCCCTCAGCGCTCCAACTTCATCTCCAACCCCTGCTGCACACTCAGAATTTTGCCCAGTGCCAGGCTGTGGGGTGCAATTACCCCAGCTGCTGCTTGAGGGGGCCAAAGCCACCAGTGAAGCTCCCATTTCATATGCCTGCTTCTGCCAGAAGTTCATGCTCTGTCTACCCTGTCCCCATTGCAGCAGGGTGCTTGCAGGGACATCAGTCAATCAGCCACAGCTGGTTGACACCCACACATGGTGCACAACCTACCAGTTTTGTGTCCAGTACCCACTGATGTGCTCCAAAACACGGATCCTGTGCCTGCCCTGACCTTGATGTGGGGTGGGAAATGAGCAACAACCTCCACCATTCAGGTCTTACAAAAGAAAGGGGCCCACTCACTGCCTCAGTCACCCCTGATGGAACTGCCTCCACTGCTGCACCCACTGGCCTCAGCACATTTTTTCCACAGATTGGAAGATAATTCTTGGGAGGCAGCCAACCCCTGACATAACATCAGTCCTAGGGATTACTGTCTTCAAGTGGGTATTGTTTCCTAGTAGGTGAGCTGGCGATAAGGTGTACAAATAATTAATTAGCATTAATGCACTTCAAAATACGTGGGAAGAGCCAGTCAATCACTGTGAGTGGAAATGCCAGGTCTGAGGGACATGGGGCCTTTCCTGCAATGAGTCACACCACCAAGGTAAGGTTCAAACAACCCATCTATCAAATATATCCTTCTCCCTTCCAAAATACACTGGCCACAAGAGGCTGGGCAGCAAGATGTTCCACACAGGAAAATAGCATCTAAAGCATTAATGAAGATACACAGCAAGATGCCAAGTTTTAACCTCCAGAAACCTGTTAAACAGTGCTTGAGCTGGAGGAGTGAGTTTCTTGTGGGTTGAAGCTTTGTGTCATGTGGCTGCCATATGTGGCACCCGAGGCTTGGAGACACAATGCTGACTTTATTGTATCATGGTCTGGGAAGCACAGAGCTGTTCTCACCCCTGTGGTAAAACAAGAGTTTGGCTGCAGCCCGGCAGCAGTGTGGTTCCTGCAGAGGCAGAAAGCCTCCAGATCTGCAGCAGCCAGTGTGTATTTGTCTTGTCAGCTGTTTCATTGACCCAACAGAGCCTTATTAAACCTTTCTTTTCCCACCAGCTTCTGTTTCATTTACATCCCCCTTGTCGAACTTCTGCAACACCAGAACAGGGGCCTGGCAGATAAGCCGTGGTGAAATACTGATTCACAGACCCATCCCACACGTCACATGAGGAGTACACAATCACACCACTGCCAGCTGTGTCACAAGGCATAGGCAGGGGAGAAACCATCCTGCCTGCACCAGCTGGCTGCTTCCCCCTCCCCTGCTCCCCCAGCGATGCTGCAGAGACCTGCCCTGTCCCATGGGCCTTCCCTGACTGCACATTCAGCCACAGCATCCTTCCCCTCTGCCAAAGAAATAACTCCCGTGTGTCACTCCAGCTGTGGAGGTTTCCATACTGGTGAATATTGTGGCTCAAATCATCCTCACCCCTCCCTGTTTCTAAGAAGAGAGCAATTAGAAGGGAAAGTCTGTGTTTTGCTAGCTGAGGTTTCACTAATTTTTACAAGAAGCTGAAAATGGAGGCTTTTAACAGGAAGGACCATCCAACCCATCTTTTGCCCTCCAAAATAGTCCCCACAAGCTGGGAGGGATTCAGCTCTGGTGCTATCCAGACCATGTCCCTCTTCTGCTCAGTGCTCTGCTCATTTCCTGCCATGCCCTCCCTGCTGATACCCCACGGAACTATGCAGCAGTAACATTTCACCAAATACAGCACCTCAGAGGGAAAAATGAGGGAATGACCCCCAAAAACCTGGCTCAAAATATCCCAGGATAATCACTCCCCAGGCATCCTCCCACCTGGGCACCTTTATCTGTGGCACCTTGCATCCTGCTAGGTACAGCACTGACCCATCAGAGATAAGCATGCAAGGAAAGAGGAGAAATTCCACACAAAAAATCACCAAATACTTCTGTATTCTCCCAAAGCAAAATCCTCGCAGAAAAAACCATCACATTCACCCTGCCTATACCCTCTTTCCAACATTTTGTTGGCTTTGCAGCCTCCTGGATTCATGCACAAGGGTTGGACAGGTGCCACTGAAACATTTTCCAGGTTAAATTGTTACACTGTTTAACTGGTAAAATTTACCAGAATTTTGAGACTATAAGAAAATTTTCCTGTTAGGAATAAAAAATTAATGTAAAAACATTCTGTCTTTCTAGACTTCTGTCCACATTCCTTTTCAAATCATCTGTACAGAAGTTGGTTATTTCAGTACCCCTAAAAAGATACAAGTAAAATACAAATTAATGACTGGCCTTAAAAGTTTTTTATGCTGTTTCCCTCCCTCTCTCCCTCCCATGCAAACACATCTAATTCCATTTTTAACATCAAACTGAACCTTCAAATAAGCAGGCAGACAGCCAAAACTTTTAATATACAGTCAAGCAACCATCTGCATAAATCAGAGGATTTTAAGAATCCTTTTCCCCTCAGTCAAACAGCTGAATATCTTTACCAAGCTGGAGGACACTGCCAAACTCTGCAGTTCATCACACCAACGCACCTGCTGAGGAAAATAGTGCAAGACCTGGCTTGGTGACTCTTTTCCAGCACTGGTCCAATGAAACTGGCTGCTGTTTTCAGCACGGTTAAAAATGTGCACCAGTTGATGTTATCTGCATGGAGCAGGTAACCCTTTACATTTTGTATTCAGTCAGCAGTCACATGAATGATGAGGCAGGGACCAAAGCCTTTCTGAATGGTCTGGTTTGCAGTGCCAGCAGCAGGACATGTGATAGAGAAAAATCCTTGCTCAGTATTTTTCTCATGTCGGGAGACTGCGAGAGGGAAACTGAGGCATTGCACCATTCAGTTGCCCAAGGGCTAACCCAGTCTTCCAAAATTTAGGGTGCTGAAAAGGGAAGGTTAATGAAAGATGCGAGGGAGGGTTTTGTAGTACTCCGATAAGCCAAACAATATTGTTGTGATTAAGGCTTATTATTGTCTTTAAGACTTGGCTCCTACTCCCAGCTGTGCCACAACCTTCTTGTGTGTGAAGTCACAGGGCTCCTCACCTGGAGCATGCAAAGCCTGATCCCACTTTAGCAAAAAGCTCCAAGCTGCTGCCTGTAGCACACAAAGGGAAGGACTTTTACCAGGCAGTTTCAGCAATTACCACGGATGCTGCAGGATGGGGATGTCTTGCCTGGCTTTTATTTTCTTCCTTCTTGGGCGTTTGCCTTCTTTTTTTGTCTGTGGGAGGCAAAGGTGGAAGATGCCAGGTGCCTTCTCCCACCCAGCCCTGCTCAGCAGAGGAAGGTGATGGCAGGGCCAGCAAGGTGGGGACAAGGCAGGCTTGCCATGGGGACAGAGACCAAGCTGGGCAGAGACCAGAGTGGCCACCAGAGTTCTGGTGACAGGGTCACACTCAGCAAGGGCAGAAGCCACTTGGGAGAAATTGGCCCCAATCCAGCATAGAGGAACAATGTATTTCTTTATTCATGAAAGACTTGAATGAACTTTGTAATTTGATGTTCAAATGATTCACAGGATGAACACGCTTCCCTGATAAACAAGTAGACAAGATAGATGTATTATCCTACCATAGTCACCATCAATCCACACTCAGAGATTAAAAAATGGCAGCCCTAAGATATAGACAAATTCAAACATTACTAGGGAAAAAGCCAGATATATTTCCAAGTCAAACTCCTTCCAAAATCACTGTATTACAGACAACATGATTCTGGGTGCCTTGAGGACCCTTCTGAGATTTCCTTGGCCTCCAATGGCTCCATCTTATCTTGGCACAAACCCTCAGTCTCTGCTTGCTCTCAGAAAAATATTATGTTACTCTCTGCTTTCTTTTTCATAACCTAGATGATAACTTTGAAGGGAGGTTCAAGTAGAACAATATGCATGTTTTTCACAGCATTTTCAGCTGGAAGATGTATTCAAAAGGAAAATTCTGGCTTATGATAATTTTCACTGAAAATTAATTTTCATCTGGAAAAAAAAAAAAGCCTGAGAAATATAAGTTATCTTGTTTTCTGCAAAATATTTCCCAAAGTATTTTCTCTAAATGGATTTTGGAAGAGAAAACCACATTTTCCACACAGCTTTTCACTTCTGGTGACGTAAGTTCCCCATCACAGGCTACAGCAACATAAAACCAAGTGAGGCAGAGGGACAAAGAATTCACCTTGCTGCAAATGAAAACACCAAATGTGCAGCATGCTGGGTGAGCAGCTTGGATGCTGGATCAGCGGTGGCACAGGAAGTACAGCAGCTGAGAAAATTATGCCAGAACACGTCTCTCTAATTTATTTACGTGGCTGCAAATGCTCTGGGGATGC